AGACATGGTCCACTGTGGTTTCGCACCCCGACAGTGTGCATCAGCTGATCAGACATGGTTCACTCTGGTATCGAACCCCGACAGTGTGGATCAGCTGGTCAGACTTGGTCCACTGTGGTTTCGCACCCCGACAATGTGGATCAGCTGGTCAGGCATGGTTCATTGTGGCATCACACCCCGACAGTGTGGATCAGCTGGTCAGACATGGCTCACTGTGGTATCACACCCCGACAGTGTGCATCAGCTGGTCAGACATGGTTCACTCTGGTATCGAACCCCGACAGTGTGGATCAGCTGGTCAGACATGGTCCACTGTGGTTTCGCACCCCGACAGTGTGCATCAGCTGATCAGACATGGTTCACTCTGGTATCGAACCCCGACAGTGTGGATCAGCTGGTCAGACTTGGTCCACTGTGGTTTCGCACCCCGACAATGTGGATCAGCTGGTCAGGCATGGTTCACTGTGGCATCACACCCCGACAGTGTGGATCAGCTGGTCAGACATGGTTCACTGTGGTATCACACCCCCGACAGTGTGCATCAGCTGGTCAGACATGGTTCACTCTGGTATCGAACCCCGACAGTGTGGATCAGCTGGTCAGACTTGGTCCACTGTGGTATCACACCCCGACAGTGTGCATCAGCTGGTCAGACATGGTTCACTCTGGTATCGAACCCCAACAGTGTGGATCAGCTGGTCAGACTTGGTCCACTGTGGTTTCACGCACCCTGGTCAGGCGACAATGTGGATCAGCTGGTCAGACATGGTCCACTGTGGCATCACACCCCGACAGTGTGCATCAGCTTCCCTCAACCTGAGCCATTGCTGACTTTACTGGTTTATTTACGCAAAGATTGAAAGATATATACCAACAAAACTGGCTTGAAAATTTTTCCTTTTCTACGAATTGTGATTACTACTCATCTTTTACACCATATATTTATACTGAGCATTATCTATCATGTGTCGCGATAAAATGTTTTTAGAGTAAGATTAGCCCGTTTTCGCCGCTCATCACATGATTTGTGGATTGAAAAAGGTAGATTTATGAAGATAAAAAGAGAAGATATGTTATGTAAATCCAATATTAATGTCTTAGAAAACGAATATCATTTTTGTCTCGTATGCCCACTATATGATAATCTACGTAAAAAGTAACTTAAACAATTTTATTATGTCCGTCGATCTATAGATAAATTTTACTCCTTATTCAACTGCAACAACCATATGGCAACAACCATAATATGATTCAGAATATTGCTATGTTTATATATCATGCTATGAAACTCATAATTATATGAAAACATAATATCAATAGTGTATATAAATATACAAATATAAAATTCTTCTATATACTACTGTTACGGTTAATAATTTGCCATGACAAAAGGTTTAAGAGCCCCTTTCAACCAGCAAAATAGAATACAGACAAGTCTAAAATATTCAATAATATATTGAGCAAACAATGAGCAAACTACAATGAATGACAATACAGATATCTAGTACAATGCAATTGAGTCACAAATCTAAAGTAATGGGTCACAAATATGAAATATTAACTCACCAGAGTCTTGGCATTTACAATGAGAGCAGATATTCTAATTGAAGGTAGTTTACAATGAGAGCAGTCAGGCTCGCACTGTCTTGAATGTAGGTCAGATGATGGCAGACAGATGTTCACAACTCCAATGATATGAAAAGTCCGTGTGTGATGTCAACACAATAACCAGCCTTTATATATATACTGACACAGTGTCTAGAACATTCCTGTGAAGCCAGGCGATATCATTATCCTCTGAGAACATTCACGATATCACTGGGAGACTCCGATAGCCGGCAGTCAACAAGATAAACAAACCAACCAAGGAAGGCAACTCTGGGGTGCTATCAAAAGGCGTACCGCTAAAAATACTATTGCTATTGAACATATATGATGCGAAATGTGACCCACAACCCACACTCAAAACTCTAAACATTGTGACCCATAAACAATGATAATACAAATTACAAAAAAACACACTCTCCTAACACTACTACTTTATATTGTACTATAGGCCTGTGGCCTTTGAGTATCGAATAAAGATTGATACAGGTCTGGCTTCTTGGCCTGATTGAGGCTACTTGGTGTCGCTACCCGCGAAGGTCCGGGTTAGAATATTGGCCTTCAGTAACCCATGATTGTTGTAAGGGGCGACTAACGGGATCGGGTGGTCAGGGTCGCTCACTTGGTTTACACATGTAATTGGTTCCCAATTGCGCAGATCGATGATCATGCTGTTGATAACTGGATTGTCTGGTCCAGACTCGACTATTTACAGACCGCCGCCATAAAGCTGGAATATTGCTTAGTGTGGCGTACAACTAAACTCACTCACTCACTTGATGTCGCTGAAATTCCATATTTGAGTTCCTGCAGTATTGTTGGAGGATTCCTATAATGTCACAAATGTGGCTCCATTTAAAGAGATTAACGTACTGTGTTTGGAAATTAGATGAATGTTAGACCGAGTCTCTAAATTTCATTTGAAGCCGAACGCCTAGTATGAGTGGCAAATTTTGTGTTTCGCCTGACCGTTATCTTGCGAATTTCCCATTCTAACCGGAAACAAATATACCATTTACCAGGTACAGTCCGTTTGAGTCAGAAACGGACCGATGAATTGCAAATTTGATCATTGTACAAAATTGCCAAATAAATAAACATAGTACATATGTTTATCATTTACTAATACCCAACAGCTTTCTTATGTTTGAAAATTTTCCGGACTCCACCAAAAAAGTTGTTTAAGAAACTATCATCATGAAAACGCAAAAGTTGTTATCTGTCGCGGCGGGGTGAAACCGCAGAAACGGAACATCCACTATCTCGTCGTGCACGGGATACACATGCCTGATGAAAAATGAAGTTGAATGCTGACATGAAACAGTTGATGATTAATGTGTACGATTTTTTCCGTGCTGAAGCCGAAAGGCGCAAACCATTTTATGCCATTAATAAATTCCGTAAGCGAGCAGCAAAAGCTTTAGGAGAATCAGCAAGGGTACTGACAAATGTTCTGGAACACAAACATTGTGAGGGTGATGCGAAGCAGGTAGGGGTCGTGTCAAAATCACACAAATTAAAACATTTGGACAACTTTCAAAAGAACCTTGTAAGGCCATCTATCAACAAGCTCTATTCTGAAAACAAATACATGTCGATGAAATTTTTTAAAAAGCAAGAACACAACCTCAGAGTATCAAAGTACACACTCTGGCGACTCTTACACCCTTTCGGGTATCATTATAAGAAAATGTCGGGGGAGAATAGGTCAGTACTCTGTGAACGCCCTGATATCGTTCGCTTGAGAAATAATTTTCTCAGGGTTATAAAGAAAAAGCACGAGGAAGGGTTCGAGCCAGTGTACTTAGACGAGACCTGGGTCAATGCCTCGCACACTGCCAGCAGTCAGTGGGTACCCGATGGGGGTGATAAGGGGTCACGTAGAAAGCTGCCGCTAGGGAAAGGAGAGAGACTAATCATTATCCATGCTGGTTGCTCCAGCAAAGGCTTTCTCCCAGGCTGCGACTTGGTATTCAGGGCAAAGTCCACAGATAACAGAGACTACCATTCCGAGATGAATGGTGCGGTTTTCCTCGATTGGGTTAAAAACAAGTTGGTACCAGCTCTACCAGAGAAGTCTTTTATCATAATGGACAATGCCCCATACCACAGCGTGAAGCCCTGACTTCGAACAGTCGAAAAGGTGATATGATATCATGGCTCGACACATTTCAGATCGCAGGGCCTTCGAAGGAAACGAAGCCTCGGCTATATGAGATCATAAAAACCCACAAACGTGAACCTTTATACAAAGTTGACAGTTACATAAAAAGTAAGGATCACGATATTCTGCGACTTCACCCTATCACTGTGACCTTAACCCCATTGAAATGATATATGGTATTGTCAAAGGAGATGTTGCCAGATCAAACACAACTTTTAGATTACGTGACGTAGAGGTTTTGGTTAACAAAATCCCTTAACAAAATCACGCCTGAAACTTGGCAAAACTGTGTCAACAAGGTAGCTAACGTCATTGAACAAGGTTACTGGTCTCGGGATGGCTTACAACAGGCAACTGTGGCACCACTTGTCATCACTTTAAGTCGTGACTATGACACTACGACAGACGAGGAACCGACAGGTCACCCGGAATAGATTTTGAGATGTCCCCCGCCATGACTGACTGTTCCGTTTCTGCGGTTTCACCCCGCCGCGACAGATAACAACTTTTGCGTTTTCAAGGATGATAGTTTCTTAAACAACTTTTTTGGTGGAGTCCGGAAAATTTTCAAATATAAGAAAGCTGTTGGGTATAAGTAATTGATAGACATGTGTACTATTTATATTTATGTGGCAATTCTGTACAATGATCAAATTTGCAATTCATCGGTCCGTTTCTGACATAAACGGACTGTAGGTAAATGTTTACGAACGTTTTGCCGCACAAATAGGTGGGGATGTATTTTTACAAGGTTTTCTGATTTATATGTTAGATATTGTTTGTTTATGTTTGGGGCTGTGTATATTGTCATTGAGTTTGAATATTTTTATAATAGAAGGTAATAATTATGATAGTGAGGTTCCCCAATAATTGTGGAGGAGAAATCGTATAATTGTATTTTTCGAGTTTTAATAAATGTTTCATCAGCATTTCCACCACGTCTGTTGTGTTGATATTAGTCATGTTGGTCGCCAAGCTGAAGTAGTGCGGCAGTGTTGTATACGTGCGCAGTGAAGCGCCGTGAAATCAGATGCATTTTCAATCCAAATTGATCAATCAACTTCGAGCATGTCACGCAGCCATGGTAGAATTCATCATTCATGTGTCCATTGGGTGAGAATGCTGAGGTAAACAACTTACGGCACACGGCGGATCCCAATAGCCAATCCCAGATCGCGAGAAATGAATATTTATAGAATAACGTAAGGGTATATAAAGTCTTTTCTGAAGGCGTGTTCATACTGAGCTCAGCCTCTGAGGAGTCAACTTGAATAGCAATTATATTCAGATAACAAAGGTAAGTTTACCTTCTCATTTGCAAACTTACTACCAAGACCAAAGGGAATGGACTAGGGTTTTGAAACATCTTACCTCATGTCACCAATAGTAGGAATCCCATCAGTAGAATCACACTTAATGTTTGTAGTATATTTCCATTTTGACAAAATACCTTGAGCAGATACAGTTTGTTCAGATTGACCTGAGGCGTGTTCAACAGAACGAATACCCGCGAGTATTCGCGAATATCCGCTGCTGAACGACAACGAGGTCTCGCGTATCCGCTAATACACACATGACCACTTTAGGGCAGTCAGGCCAGATGGTGTCCCGTATAATAAATATTGAACCTGTCCAGCTGCATATGGAAGATAATTCCAAGATGTTCACCATTATGCTGCTACCCAGCGCTAGTGGTGGGAATTGGTTGTGATTTCATAATCGATCATCAGTTACAATCGGATTGACCGATCAATCATCGATTAATTAACTCTTTAAATAATAAATATAATACACAAGGTCATGTGTTTGTTATTGTCTCAGACTTCTGAAGATAAGCAAGTACAGTTCAGAGGCAGATAGTTGAACATGTAGAGGTACACAAAAGAAAAGATTTTTTTGATCTTTTATGGTTTATTATTATTTACCATAAACAGCATCAATTACCAACCATTCAACAAACAACAGATCTTTCAGATGTCATAAAAACTACATGACTAAAATGCGCCTTGAAATTAAGTGTAGTTGACAGACAATGGCTGACGAGGCGGTAATCAATCAGTTTGTGATTGTTGAGAATATTGTTAAAATTGGTGCTATCACGGTTGGAGCGAAAAGCGTACCCCCATGAACATGGTAAGCGGAAGTTGTATGCGCATGGAATGAGGTGAAATACAGATGACAGTTTGTTGCGATTGCAAACTCCAATAAATTTGACATTTAGCAAAACAAAATATATGTATGTATCCATTTTCTGTCAACTACACTTAAATTTCGAGGCGTGAGTAGACGCAATATGATTGTGATTTCTGTATATAATGCGGATAGAAGTTATAATTATAGGTAACTGCCAAGTGTCTTGTGGTCTTCACCGTCCAGTACTGCTTAGGATATTTATTAGTCGGTGGACAGAAGTGTTGCTCGCAGAAGTGTTTTCCCATACACAAAAGTAATCGTGATTTGACGTAATGTCCGTAGACTTGCATGTCAATTTGGTGTCGGTGAAATAATTGTCATTTAGTTCATTTTGCAGGATGAGTTTGAAATTTTACAGTTAATTAGAAAGTCATCTCAGGCACACGAACACAATTTTCACAGATTTATCCGTTCAACATTACCCACATGGTAACTATATGTTCGCGCTAAAATGATTCCTCGCACTGGTACAAAATTTGACAAACCTCCATCATAGTAAATGATTTTCAGTCCACACCAACTGAGCATGAAAGTCGTGAATCACAAATACTTAATTCCAGGGACTGTAGTCAAGGAATATTAATAGCAAACCGTTATGTCTCTGCCATAAGCCTTTAAACATGACTTGTCGCAGTTTTATTTGACATTCAAATTAAATTGAAATTCACTGCGTGGTGTAGGCCTAATTTAAGTAAACTTCCAGACTTTATAATGAATCGTAACAAATTGAATATTTCTGGTAGCGAAAAAGACTGTGAGCATTTCGTCTTTCGACGCCATCTTAGAAAGTACTAGCCAGACAATTCCCCGTTCAGCAGTCGTTCGCGTGTACTCGCGTACTCGCTAAACGAGTATTCGTTCTGTTGAACACGCCTCTGATCAAGTGAATACTAATGCATTGCGTGACCGTGTCACAACTGGTTGGGTCTATTATTGTGAAGGGGTGCACCTTTGTCAGTTGATTGTCAACATGTCCGAACAGCAGAGACAAGGTCGCCGTTTGACATCTCAGTGTCGAGAAATCGTCAGCAACTTTCTTTAAACAATAAGCTACAGATGGTTTAATGTTTCCAATTCGGGCTTTTAGGCCGCGAGCTGGTTGATACGACATTATATAATCAATAACAATTAGATCTGATACATTTGAAACACATAAATGATTAATTCAACCATGTTTTTAACAATGTATGTGCATTGAAAAATGGAATAATAATAGAAGAATATGGCCTATTTATTATTTGTATTCATTTGGCATACATCATTTCAATATAACATTCATATCTGTTCTTCCATTTTGCATCAGATCATTATATATAAAACTGAATGTACCCCATTCTCCACCCCATATATAGTTACAGCTTTGTATATAATAGGAAAACGGACACATTCTGAAATATTCATAATTGTGTGTGTTTTAGCTTGTTTGAAAGAGCCCACTTATAAAACAGGAAAGTGCGCCTTGTCTAAAACACGCACATACACAACACTCCCAAGTGGGGCTCATGTTTGTTAAAGACATGTTTGGTAAAAAAACAGCTATTGATATTTCATAATGTGCCCGTTTTCCTTTTACAAAAAAATCTGTAGCTATGTCAGGGCTTGGAGAGGGGTGGGGAATAGGGTACATTCAATGTTGAAACCTGTTGGTATTACAATCACAATAAACAGACAGTTTAATACAGACAATGTTTGATTGCATGAAACACGCATGCCAGTGAAGAAATCTATTAAAGTTCACTTAGCTGTTTAATATAAACATGGACAGTAGTTATATACAGCATCAAAGTTGTCTTGTCTGTCTGTCAAAGTTTTCAGATGAAAGAATTTCGATAAAAGATGTTTGTTTGTTTGTTTGTTGTTTAACTCTGCACTCGGCTCTACTCCAGCTACATGGCGGCCATCTGTAAATAATCGAGTCTGGACCAGGCAATCCAGAGATCAACAGTAGAAACACTGATCCGATACAAAATGTTACAGTGTGGGATACATAATTCTTGTGGCTGAGTAAAGCTCACATACAAGCAATACATGCATATGAAACTCATCTGCAACAGAAGATCTTCCACTTAATATACAATATGTGCAGTCATTCAGTGTATGGGACATTTGTGTATCTTCCAAAATCGACTGGAAGATTAAACCCACTACATCTGAAAAGAGCCATGGATAGTCTTAGGTGTACAGGGATAGGGAGTGTAAGAATCATTTCCACTTTTAGCAGTGATTTAAAATGCTGTTAATAGAAGGAATCAGACAAACTGCTATTCCACTACACCCTGATTGTTGTAGGATGTCAAATGATCTTTGTTTCAAAAGGTGAATACATATCTGCACACATATTCAAATAAAAGTCAAAACAGAATATTTTTAATATGAGGAGCCATGTTGTACGGCATTGGCGAGGCAATTTGCTTTCATCCAAATACAGTAGCCTGCACCAATACCTAATAGCCCTTGAAGTGTGCACAAGTTGGAGAGGGGTTCTGCCACATTCTCCCCGAACCATAGCATGGTTTGCTATTTTGAGAAACCGTTTACACATTTTATGCTGTACATCTTCAATAATTTTGAGGTCCCCTATATAACACACAATAGGAACAATTTCAAATATCATAATTAATCTTGACATGGTCCCTTTCTTTACATCTGTACAATGTCATAACAGCCTTTTTACTCTGTGCACCAATAGGAACAATCATAACTCATAGAAAAGACATCAAATATCATAATTAAATTCACATGGTATATTTTTCAACTTTCTTTTGTGTTGAATTATGTTCTGTAAAGTTCAAAGCACAGCTGTTATACTAATGTATTAACATACTGATCACATGATCATCCATGTATTTTAATATATTCAGTTTAGTAATATAAAGTATCATACAAATCAGTGAAATGTCTAAATCCATGTGTATCATAATCATGAACATTTCTGAATGATATTGGTATATATTCTACCTGTTTCATAATGTTTTGTAGAGGCTAAATATCAGAATGACAAAAACTGTCATTAACATCATTCATATGGATCAAAACGCTTTACCTTGTAATTTCACAAGGCGATCGAAAAATATATCCGCTAAACCTACCCTGAAACGATGAAAGACACGGGACATAATCGGTGATATTTTCGTCATCAAATTTTCTAAAATAAAGATGCTAGCTATATGCAATCAGTGTGGTCGTTCAGATCCACGTTTTATGTGTACGATTTCGTGGCAATAGCGAGCTGACCCGAAATATCAAAGCACATGTCGGTGATGAAAATAGGTGTGTGTCATTGTTTATATATCGCCCATGTAACGACGATTTTCGTGTGTCGAAACTGCTTAAATAACATTTTTGTACACTAAAAGTAACGATGGCCGTTGTTCTGGTGACGTATACTTTGCCATAGTATCGATGAAAATGCTATGAAAAAAGTCTAACCACCCGTTCTCGGATTTTCCTATAGTAAGTGTATGGCGCGTCTCCCTGCAGTGAAGGCCGCCATTCGGCGCGTCTCCCTGTAGTGGTTGCCTCGGTCAGTGTCGGAGCGTTAGCGCAGGCGCAACAGACCCAGGGAAACAGGCTGGGTCAGACATGGTTCACTGTGGCATCACACCCCGACAGTGTGGATCACTGGTCAGACATGGTTCACCGTGGTATCGCACCCCGACAGTGTGGATCAGCTGGTCTCACATGGTCCACTGTGGTATCACACCCCGACAGTGTGGATCAGCTGGTCAGACATGGTTCACTGTGGTATCACACCCCGACAGTGTGGATCAGCTGGTCAGACATGGTTCACTGTGGCATCACACCCCGACAGTGTGGATCAGCTGGTCAGACATGGTTCACTGTGGCATCACATCCCGACAGTGTGGATCAGCTGGTCAGACATGGTTCACTGTGGCATCACACCCCGACAGTGTGGATCAGCTGGTCAGACATGGTTCACTGTGGTATCACACCCCGACAGTGTGGATCAGCTGGTCAGACATGGTTCACTGTGGCATCACACCCCGACAGTGTGGATCAGCTGGTCAGACATGGTTCACTGTGGCATCACACCCCGACAGTGTGGATCAGCTGGTCAGACATGGTTCACTGTGGCATCACACCCCGACAGTGTGGATCAGCTGGTCAGACATGGTTCACTGTGGCATCACACCCCGACAGTGTGGATCAGCTGGTCAGACATGGTTCACTGTGGTATCACACCCCGACAGTGTGGATCAGCTGGTCAGACATGGTTCACTGTGGCATCACACCCCGACAGTGTGGATCAGCTGGTCAGACATGGTTCACTGTGGCATCACACCCCGACAGTGTGGATCAGCTGGTCAGACATGGTTCACTATGGCATCACACCCCGACAGTGTGGATCAGCTGGTCAGACATGGTTCACTGTGGTATCAGACCCCGACAGTGTGGATCAGCTGGTCAGACATGGTCCATTGTGGTATCACACCCCGACAGTGTGGATCAGCTGGTCAGACATGGTCCACTGTGGTATCACACCCCGACAGTGTGGATCATTGCTGACATGGTTCACTGTGGCATCACACCTCGACAGTGTGGATCAGCTGGTCAGACATGGTTCACTGTGGTATCACACCCCGACAGTGTGGATCAGCTGGTCAGACATGGTTCACTGTGGTATCACACCCCGACAGTGTGGATCAGCTGGTCAGACATGGTTCACTGTGGCATCACACCCCGACAGTGTGGATCAGCTGGTCAGACATGGTTCACTGTGGCATCACAACCCGACAGTGTGGATCAGCTGGTCAGACATGGTTCACTGTGGCATCGCACCCCGACAGTGTGGATCAGCTGGTCAGACATGGTTCACTGTGGCATCACACCCCGACAGTGTGGATCAGCTGGTCAGACATGGTTCACTGTGGCATCACACCCCGACAGTGTGGATCAGCTGGTCAGACATGGTTCACTGAGGCATCACACCCCAACAGTGTGGATCAGCTGGTCCGACATGGTCCACTGTGGCATCACACCCCGACAATGTGGATCAGCTGGTCAGACATGGTTCACTGTGGCATCACACCCCAATAGTGTGGATCAGCTGGTCCGACATGGTCCACTGTGGCATCACACCCCGACAGTGTGGATCATTGCTCTCAATATTAATCACGGGTTTGTCTGATCCAAGACGTTTTATTTACAATGAAAAGATATTTTGTCACAACTAGTTCATCACTAGCATGTCTTGTGAATAAAATGTGAAGGTTATTATTTCAATTTTTAAGAAGGAATGACCAGAAAACAAATCATTATTTTTTTCCAGTAAAAGTCATCTGATGAGAGGATGGCGTCCGAAAGTCAAAACACCGGGACTTTATGGCAGAGCCAATGAGAGATAAGCTCGTAACTGCCCTACCAGGAATAGGACCGGTTCTTGGTGAAAACTCAAACAAGCGGGGTTTACAAAGGTGAGTTTACACTTTACGATGTCTTGCATTTCAGTAGACTGAAGAGCTAGACATAACTGACATTGCTGAAAATAATTTCAATGTACTGATAAAAAAGTATCAGGATATTCTGATAAATTTATTACTCATTTAAAAAATTGGTCTGTATCTGTAGAGATGAATATACGCAAAGGCAACAGTTAGTGTGACACTCATACAACAAACATAATCAGCATTAAACTTTTACTGCCGCAAATATTTTCTTATGACATGGAAACACAAGTGTTTCAAGTTATGGCAACATTCAACAGAAGAACAGTGTACCTGGCACATGCACAAGACAAAAGGGGGCTCACAAGACAAGGTCACGTGGTCTGTAACGAGTGCGTCCACCTTGTGCATTGATGCAGGCCTGGCTACTTCAGCTGATCGAGGCTACTTGACGTTGCTTAAATTCCATTCCAGTTCCTGCAGCATTGTTGGAGGATTCGGATCATGTCACAAATGTGACTCCATTTCATCATTTATGTGTCCATCTAGTGACAAATGACGTAATCTTGTCAGTCAAGGTAACACATTCACATTGTCGAGTGCGACGCTTTCTTCTGGTACAGTGGATCATACTGGGTTGGCGCTTTCTCATCCTCCTGTGATTCCTCCGACTTTGACGATGACTTCTAGTGTGTTTTTCGCCACTGCCATCCTCAATACTGTACCTTTTGGTACCTTTTGGTACCTTTTGGTCATGTACCACCACTTTATTCCAGTGCGCCATTTGATCCCAGTTCAGCGCTCTCGTTCAGAGTGCCGCTTGATTCCAGTTCAGCACTTTCATTCAGAGCGCTGCTTGGTTCCAGTTCAGCGCTTTCCTTCAGAAGGCCGTCTGTTTCTGATTCAGCACTTACTTCTAGCGCTCTCGGTTTGATGCTTTCTACTACTGTTCTGGGATCAGCGTTGGTTCCTTGTACACTCAGTGCAGCCCTTGCCGTCAATACGTCAGCGTTTGTATCTTATGCAACGCTTGTTCCTGGTGTCCCGTGTGTCCCGAGTGCGACCCTTAGTACACCACTTGTTTCTTATGCGCCTTTTTCGACGAACTCCACTGTTGTCTCTCTTGAGATCAGTGGGTTCTCGGTTACCACCTTCAGCGGCGTTTGGGTCGCATGCTTGACATTCGGCTTTTCAACATGGGAATTTTCCTCAATCTACAGGGAGTTTGACTTCTTTTGGTGAAGTTTCACAGCACCCTTCCATGCCTGCCCATGGTTCCTTTTTACCGCCTACTTTGGATTGTAGATCGAGGCCTATTTTACCGGTTTCATGGAACAAGGCATCTGATGTTTCTGCTTCGCAACATATTGACTTTGATGCCATTGTGCAGGCTGTTGCTTCGACTTTGTGTCAGCAGGCTCCAGAGCCTTCTGCGCCTACTCACCCATCTGGTCACCCGACTGCCCCAGTTCAACATGTGAAGGAAGTACAGCGTTCGGTTACACCTTCTCCCACCTCAGATGGTACCTCATCTTCGGATGTTAGTATCGACGCAGTGGACACGCCTCAGTTGTTGGTGTGGATTGCGGATAGTTTACATCTTCAGCATAGTAGTTCACCTTCAGACTTTTTGTCTTGTTTTGACATGAAGACAGGTGATTTTGACTCCATCACGTTTCTGCTGCGTCCTTGCATCACTCAACTGGCTGCTTTTCTGGATGAGGCGTTTGACAACCTGAGGAAGGTGAAGGATGGTTTTGCAGCCCCTTGCTTTTAGTTTAGCGTCCTCCCATGTGCATGGTTTTTCTTCGATTATTGTCTCCCCTCCGGTGGATGATGATATTGCATTGTTGGGATCGAAACAGAGAGCTTACTCACCATTCTTGGTGGAGGATCGGGAGCTACTGCATTTGGATGGTGCCATCAGGAAGATTATGGCTCCCCTCAATATGGTCTTAACGACTACTGAAGCAGTTGCCATGTCTGTTTCCCATGCGACTTCTCATCAACAAGCGTATATTCGGGCGTCGATGATGCTATTACAAGAGCAATTTCAGACCATTCTGGATCAGTTGGCCCATTTCTTCTCCTGCATCACGGCGATGTGGCGTAGGGGGGCCCCATCATTTGTCCTCATGGGAGGATAGATTTCGAACTGATTTCTTTCGCCAACCGTGGTCAGGCAAGTCTCTCTTCAATGGAGCAATCAGAGACGTTGCCACTAGAGTGGGGCAGGACGCTCATTTACAGGTGTCAGTGGAGTTGTTGAAATTCCAACGATTACAGGTCACGGATTCCTTGCGCCAACGACGTCCTTTCCACACTCTCGGGGATTCCAACATCCTGTTATCAGCAATCCTCCTCTAACTTTGCTTCCGGATCACAGAACGTATCCCATTGGCCAGATGGCTGTTCTACGCTCCACGATCAACACTCTCCTCCAGAAACTTGCGATCAAGTCCCTGGGCCCGGCTCCAACCGACCTGGGGTTCTGTTCTCCAATCTTTTTGGTTCCAAAGAAAGATTCGGACAAGTTGAGACTATTTTTCAATATGAAGGTTTTCAGCGAAATGTTTCTACAACCTCCGCTTCACTTTATTGTCTCCCCTCCGGTGGATGATGATATTGCGATGTAATCCATATCTTGGTACTTTTTTCTCTTGGGCTTAGATTGTTCTCACCTATGGAATTAGGGCGTGTCTGCACTGTATTAAGTTATGACTTGATAGACTCTGAGGACAATCTCGTGCTACATGCAGAGATGATCGACTCTTCCCTTACTGACCTCTACTCTCTGAGCAATTACGTCAGTGAAGTGTTGACTTCCGATTACCTACATGGTTCTCGAAGTGTTCTGCTCCTAAGTCCTTTCTCACCTTTGGTAAGTTAGGGAGATTGGTACTGAACGTTAAACTCGTTGAGCAACCGGGCTATTCCCTCTTTCACCGCCTTCCAGCGTGTGTCTGTGGGGGTAGTTTCGAAGCAGGGACTGGTCAGAATACTGTGGTCACCTGATACATCGCGGGGCGGCGGGGCCTACTGCCAAACTGCGTCCTTTTGCTTGTCAAAAGTTGCGGCTGAAAACCACATTAATTCGGGAGCGCCCACTCCCTAGAGTTTTTGTGCTGTTTAAGCCAAGGGGTTATCTGAAGCAGCCCATCACAAGTTGGAGTTAGCATATTGGGAGTTGGTGCTTTCTTCTGGCCTCCTTGTGCTATGAGTCCTCACGGTTGCAGAATAGACAGGGTAATCTGCGGCCCACCTGCCAACCTGAGATAGGATAAGCTTAACAATTTGGAAATTTTAACTATAAATTGTATATTTATATACTTATCCTATCTCACGCGAATGCCCACCCGACCTTCCCCACATCTCAGATTACTGGAAGCTCCAAGATGAGAATGACAGGCACAGGACGTCACGTGATCATCTGAGCGATCTGCACGCTTATAGAGATGATTGACAGGTGCCGATATCGGAGTGGGGGCAGAAGTCAGGTGCTTAGAGGTCAGGTGCTTAGAGGCCAGAAAGATTCGATTCAACTTGGCTATAGCACGCTTCAACACATGGTCGAAGAAGAAGAAGAGAGGTGCATACCGTGAGATAGGATAAGTATATAAATATACAATTTATAGCTAAAATTTCCAATTTTGTTTCACTTAAGGGATTATGTGTTTTTTCGTGTACACTTCCTTTTCATGTTTTCCTCTGGCCTGAACGAGCCAGAGGAAAACTGTGTCTGTAAGTGTGGCTGACGACTACAGGGACAGTCTATAACTTGATTGTTTTGCCGAAAACATCCCCATAAGTGCCAAATAGTGTTTCCATGGACGTTGAATTAACGAGCAAGATCATGCTGCGAGGTCATAAAGGAAGCATACTCGTAGTCATTTTCCCCAAAGCGTGGCATGTTGACGTCTTCTAGAAGGATGAACAACGGTGTTTTTCTGACTTCTGCACTTCTTAAGATTTCACTGAGTGGAAACAATAAGCGTCTGGTTACTTGCCTTTAAAAGTGAATATTGCTGCCCACCTTTGTTAAATATGTCATGCTTGTTGCAAATGTCATGCAATTCGAACAGCAAATGCTTAATTACGTTTCTTTGACCATTTTAACACTCTCTTTCTCTGGTACAGATTCAAAAGAATATTTACAAGATTATCAAAACAAGTCCATGTCAAAATAAATTTTGACATTGCGAATATTTATGTGTATATACCTATATAGACCTACAGGCACAGTTGATACATTTAATTCTATGAGCTAGTTTGAAATTTCTGTCTGTTTAGTATCCAGAGTATTTCAAGTCATCTTAATCACGTTCAACATTTCCGTTGCAGTGAATTAGCTATGTAGTATCAATGGTTATTGACAAGTATATGTGAGATAAGTAAACACTGATATTCTTACTCGTGAGGGTCTGCATGCCAAACTGCAGCATGCTCTCTCTCAGTTGGTAGCACTAAAACAACTGGCTTAGTGTTGATTATCTGTAACATCAAAGCAACATTACACTCCTTTTCACCTCCATTGATTTATTGTTTTATGTTTTTCCAGGCGTACCATGTTCTGGGCAAGTTCCTGAAGTTGAGCAAAGATGCGGATCATTTCAAAGCCTGGCTGAAGGAAACATTTGATGCTGATGCCAAACAGGCGGATGATTGCTACAATGGTCTGAGAGAATGGTGTAATGCTCACTTGTGAGGTGCCTGCCCTGTCATATCTTACTTCTTTCCACATTTACTCGTGCATACTCTTACGTTGGGCTTCCTTGGTCCACGTTGAACAACTCACTCCTCTTTTGTTAGATCATTTATTCGTTTGGTGACGTGGTTTGTTTGTCTTGGACAACATTTGTAGGAATGGATTATTGTTAGTTGTTAATGTGCTTGCTTGTTATGCTTGCTTTGGTAGGTTTAAAAACACTACAATCAGACATTCATCACTTTGAAACAGCTTGGACCCAGATCTATATGAAATAGTAGTTATATACATTTATAGTATTGATGGTATTCAAGGAACCATTAGGCATTTCACCTGTAACCCTTTAATGGAAGAGCCCAAATTCCTTAACATTTTACGCCAATGATAAACTACATTTTGTTCTCAGAATGCCATCTGGCACTGGTGACATATGCTTGTTTGTTGGACTTTGTTTGAAAAGTTGTACATGACCTGACTGAGCAGTTATTAATCCCAAGGCAAGAAACTAGAGAAAAGCTTTCTATGGGAAAATGTAAGCTGGAGTGCAGTAATTGTTTGTTTCGTTGTTATATAAAGCAAACTGATCTGACAAGTAAGGAAAAGGGTTAGATTTAATACTAAGCTTAGTAGGATATTCACAAGCTACGTTGTTGTACTGTCCTGACACAGGGATTCAATTGTTCATCTCTGTACACAATGATAATTACCATATCTGATACATTATACATGTACATCAATGTGAGTTTTCCATTTTACGTTGTGGCAATGTTCAATAAATTCTTATTTTAGTAACTGTTGTTTTCATTGTAATTTGAATGCTCGGAGAAAAAGGTTGGCATTCAAATGTGTCTTTTCTGGTATATAATCACCTGTTGAATGTTCTGAAGCTGTTATCTGAAGATCCACGTTAGAGTCTCAGAAGCCCATGCTTGTCATAAAGCGACTAGTGGGATAATGTGGTCAGGTTCACTGACTTTGTTCAGTCATCACAAACCTGTAATACCGATGCAATTTCGGCCATAAACAAGCCACAACTATGGTTGTTTAGTGTTTCCATGATAGTTTGGATGGACAACATTTATTATTTATTAAGATAAAGAAGCTGCTATACACTAAAAAATCAATTTGTTGTTTTCCAAATTGCCTTTCAAAGACTAGGATTTGGCAAAGACAAAGCAGGACATGTCACATGATGTGTTGCCATGTAGAGTTGTGCCCCCTTTTGACCAGGATGTAAGGGTGTTTGCCCGCTCAGACTGTCAGGGCCATACACATACTCTGGGGTTCCATGTGGTCTGTCAGCCATACACATACTCTGGGGTTCCATGTGGTTTGATGGCCATACACATACTCTTGGGTTCCATGTGGTCTGTCAGGGCCATACACATACTCTGGGTTCCATGTCGTCTGGGCCATACACATGTTGCGGTTCCATGTGGTCTGTCAGGCCATACACATGGCTCTCGATCTGCTTATAGAGTTGCCTCCTTTGGTCACACCAAAGGCCAATGAGTGTTGTTTCTAATCCTGTTTGTAATCCTGTTTGGTCTAATTTGTGTGTAGATTTGTCAGCACTTTAACAGCAGCAGCTGGTGTGACGAACATGCTGCATGTGTAGCAGCGAGACGACCACTTCGTGAATTACGTAACTCTAACAGTGAAATCAGAAGACATAACTATTGTGAATCACTGAAGTCATACAAAGAACTGGTCGTCTCCATGGTGTAGTGGTTAGAGCGATCTCCCGGAGAGTGAAAGGTCGCGGGTTTGATCCCCGGCCGCGTCATACCAAAAGACGTTAAACTATGAAACTTGTTGGTCGCTGCCAGGGTGTTCAGCATTAATGGGTGCAGCAAGAACTGGTCGGCTCGGAGTCAGTATAATGTGTCTGAGTAGGGCATTCCTGCTAAACTGCGGCAGACAGAAAACCCCAACTAGATACAAATATACATGTAGCTTGTAAAGGTTTTGCTGTGTCGTCTCGAAGTGTATACATTATTTCATTATTTATGCAAAATATTCAAAAGGCAAATACAGAAATGAAAAACTATGCTCGACAAAGCACATGAAAAATCTCTGACAATCCGAGATCGGCGAGCAGAGCAAACAAGGGACACAACTCTGCATGCTCTATGTGAAGATGTCTTGGCGACCTTTACACAGACAGCCTATACGTATTCTTTACGAACATCTTCGTTATATTATCTTCTATTTTATTATATCAATAGTAATAATAATTGATTGATTTCCAATTTTATAATGTTACGAAATAAGTATCGATATCATGAAATATTGATTGTCAGAAATTTGATTTATAGTATCTAAAAGGTATTTTATGATACCTAAAATATATTTTGTGATATTAAAAACAATTTCTGATGTCTAAGAACAAAAAGAGATACCATTAATGTATTTTGTGATATATAAGTATCTTGCAAAAACGTTCAAATATGTGTATCGATTTTGTGTTATCAATAGCTCATCTTCCTTAACACTGCATGCTATAACAAAATGTCATGTTTAATGATAAATAACAAACTGTCTTTATATTTATGACATATAATCCACACACGTGACAGGCAATACTATTGGTGACAATTAACGTACTTACTATATGTATCAAGAAGCGAATTGCTGACATCACACATTCGATTTATAGATCATTAAAAACATTTCTAAATTTTTTATGTTGTGAGTTTGGCTATATTCGCCTGAGAATATCAGAAGATTCTGATTTGCTTAAACCAGTATTAAAAATCTCACACAAAAATCCCACGTCTCTATAGTTTTTACTTTGTTTGTAATACAGGGGTCCTCCGTTATAATTTTTAAAAATAACTTATAATTGTCAAGAATGTAGAAGCGTCAAATTATGCAGTGATGTTTTATGCAGTAGATTCCTCACGCATACACTATATAATGTATGAAAAAATGAGCACACGTTACATACATATCTTGGTGTCTGGTATGTAGGGGAACCTGAACTTTCAGTTTGGATAGGAAGTAAAAGCGTCAACAAACTTTTCCAAGACAGACATCTTATGAACGCACCACCATTTTTTCTTTATCACCACCCTGAAACACAACCGTGTGGAATGCACGTGCACAACACAGTAGCCCCATACACGTGCATGGGGTGTCATTCTTGATTTTGAGGGTTTTCAAGAATGTCGATAAATCACTGTTTACCATTAATTTTGACAATCATTTTGACTCACACAGTGTTTGTTTCTAGCCGGGTGTTTTGTTTGAAAACGAAAATCGTACACATGCAAATTTCACGTTTTACACCAATCATCTTTCAAGACTGATTACTGTACAAACAACTGTGGTCAAAGGAACATTCATTATTATCACTGATATGATAATAGACTCCGATCTGTCACCTTTTCAATCGTAAAATTAAAAATGAAGTCCCCCCTTTTTTTAAGAGTATATGTCCAGCATCACATTAACGTGGAAAGTTACAACAAAAACACATAACATTTTCAGAAGTATTTATGGAATATTATGCAAAATGTTTCAACCAAATGAAAACGTGTCTCAAACGTTCCTGAAACCCTTAAAAGCAAAGTTTAAAAGTGGATGTTTTTAAAACTGTGAATATATGATGTGATTTAGGATGCTAATATTACACTTTTCTGTTGTTGATACAACAGTTTGTAAAATGACACAGAGAAGTTATGAAGGAAACAATCTATACTGTTTAATTAGACGCTAATTGTTTTATGGGTTCTGGAGAGCCGCTCAAACGTCTCACTGATCACGGGTTTGCTTATTGCAAACTGAGGATGTTGTTTTTCTCTGCAAACACGGTCGGGCCAGATAACCTAGTCCGTGGATGATTAGTTGACAATGAAGATACATATAAGCAAGTTGAAGCTTGCATTCGGAAATCGACAAGGTTTGACAAAGGCTTTTAAACAAAAGAAATTACACTTTGTGGCAAATTTCCAAATTAATAATTAATACAATTAATTATGTAACATTAACGCCCCCTACAGGTTGAAATATCTTTCGGCCCCTCTTTCGATCAAACACTAAATTGCCTGACGGACCCATTACGCATTATGTCGGTAAGCTCACGTTAAATCTACCAATTATCATCATCATCTTAAAGAAATGCGTATCATGACGTCGGCGATTTGATTAACAAGCGTCATGCTGGAAGATACTCTCTCATTCCTCCAGCACAGTATATTAAAGCTTACATGCAACGCAAAACACAACTTTGCAGATTCTGATACCTTTCGGTATGGACTTTCAGTAACAAATTATCAAAAATGCAAATTCAACTTATAAAGTTGAAAAATAACGCGATGTATAAAATCCGGCGAAATCGGAGTTCAAACGATTCACTAAAACCCAGCTAGGTTGAAAAGTATGGTGGCGCCTCCGAATTTTAAGGCGGGAAAGCGATGGCCCTAATCAGCCACCATAGAAAAGTGGTTTCAACAGCTGTGCTGCGCTGCGTAGGTGAACATGTCCAGAGAGGTGACATTTGCTCCGATGATAAAACTAAGTTGTCTTTGTAGAATTACAATCCGTTCTCCCAACCTGTCCAGTGTGGACAGCTACAACGACAATACACATCTTCCATATCATCTACCACATACCACAAGTTATAGTATTCTGGAACATTTTCCTTAAAGGATGTTTTTAGATTAGATTGAAGAAACACAATGGATTGTCTATATTAGCATGATTAGCAATGCTAAGAATTTGATATTCTTGTTTTGGGGGTGGGCTGTTCCTGTAGGACCACTATAATTGATGTATAGGACCACTATAATTGATGTATAGGACCACTATAATTGATGTATAGGACCACTATAATTGATGTATAGGACCACTATAATTGATGTTTAGACCACTATAATTGATGTATAGGACCACTATAATTGATGTTTAGACCACTATAATTGATGTATATAATGGACCACCACTATAATTGATGTTTAGGACCACTATAATTGATGTATAGGGACCACTATAATTGATGTTTAGGACCACTATAATTGATGTATAGGACCACTATAATTGATGTTCAGAACCACTTTAATTGATGTATAGGACCACTATAATTGATGTTTAGGACCACTATCATTGATGTATAGGACCACTATAATTGATGTTTAGGACCACTATAATTGATGTTTAGGACCACTATAATTGATGTTTAGGACCACAATAATTGATGTATAGGACCACTATAATTGATGTTTAGGACCACTATAATTGATGTTTAGGACCACTATAATTGATGTATAGGACCACTATAATTGATGTTTAGAACCACTATAATTGATGTATAGGACCACTATAATTGATGTATAGGACCACTATAATTGATGTTTAGGACCACTATAATTGATGTATAGGACCACTATAATTGATGTTTAGGACTACTATAATTGATGTTTAGGACCACTATAATTGATGTATAGGACCACTCTAGGACCACTATAATTGATGTATAGGACCACTATAATTGATGTTTAGGACCACTATAATTGATGTTTAGGACCACTATAATTGATGTTTAGGACCACTATAATTGATGTTTAGGACCACTATAATTGATGTATAGGACCACTATAATTGATGTTTAGGACCATTATAATTGATGTTTAGGACCACTATAATTGATGTTTAGGACCACTATAATTGATGTATAGGACCACTATAATTGATGTATAGGACTACTATAATTGATGTTTAGGACCACTATAATTGATGTATAGGACCTCTATAATTGATGTATAGGACCACTATAATTGATGTATAGGACC